CCCCGTTGCTGATCAGGACGGAGACGGCACCTTCTTCCAGCCAGAGGCGCTGCTTCCTTTGCTGCTGCTTCCTTCCAAGCCAGGTAAAACCAGGGAGAACTTCTCAGCTGAGAGCTGGATCCACGCCATGCAAGCGGGCAGGCCCTTCTTAACGCGGAGCCTGGCCTGCAAGACTGATCCCAGGCAAGGCCCCCTCTCTTGCTCCCCAGATATACCGCTTAAGAGCTTTGGGAGTTCAGGGTGGAGGAAAGGGGGTAAAGGATGGGGGGGGGGAGAGTGCAGGAGGGCAACCGTCCTATACCCCTGCTCAAAATAAAAACGGGGTTTCTGAGCATCAGAGCAGAGCTTTAGACATACAGCCCTTGTAAGCGGCCCAATACGGATCTCGAAGGCTGGGAAAGGAGCCTCAAGACCGTCTCTCGGGCTGACGCTCTCTATGCTGGAAGAAGGGACGGTGAAGCTGATGGACTTAGCCGAGATGGCGAAATTGACGGCTCTGATTTGAGAGAAGACGCTGTGCCATTTTAACACTACTTGGAAACCTTTTCTGGACTTTTGGAGAGATACGGGAAAAAATGAAATTTTGTTGGGTGGATTTGATGATTAGAAAGAATATGGATTAACAGAAATAACAGAAGTTATTTTTTAACCTTAGAGTAAGAGTTGGCTGTGTAGCGTTACTTACATCTGTTGTGAGGAGGGTCGGGAGTCAATTTTTTTTCTTTCTGATTCTTTTCTTCTCTTTCTTGTCTTTCACGCTTTTTAATCTTTGATATTTCTAGATCATCTTTCTTTCTTTAGCCTTTTCTCAATATTCATTTGTTAGGTTTCTTCGTTCTTTTTAAAATTTCTAATAAAGTTGTTATATATATTAAAAAAAGAAAGAATGTCTGTCTGGTTGAAATTGTTTACCACATCGAGGTGTGGTCTGCTCCCCACCGGCTCGCTCAGCCCGGCTATTTTCTCACCTCCTGTGTCCATTCCTCTCCAGTCCTTCTTGGCACAAACATGGCAAGCATTCAAGACCTGCCTGAAGACATCTTGCTGATCGTGCTGCGCCAGCTCCCGATACGCGAGCTGATCTGGAACTGCCGGCCGGTTTGCTCACGGTGGCGAGACATCGTGGACACTTCTCTTCTGTGGAGGTTCAAGTACCAGGAGGAGGACGCCAACCTGAAGATGCCCAAGACATTCTACATTTTCTGCCACCTGGAGAAGAACTTAATCAAGAATCCTTGTGGCGAAGGTGAGTTCATCTTCAACTAGCAGGGGATGGGGGAAGTGGCCACCTTCCCAAAGACGGGGTTTGCAAGGACCATGCTGGGGGGCTAGATCACTTCCAGAGCCCAAGGGGATGGAAAGTCTGTAACAAAAGGCCAAATGCCACCTTGTGGGCAAAAAGTCTATTTATGCAACTGTTTTCCCTTCTTTTTTCTTTCTATAACTTTCTATAGCTCAGTGGTATAGCAGGCACGAAGGCATGAAAAATCAATTTTAAATAAGAGATGGCAGTGATAATAGTAATTATAGAAAATTATCGTTGAAGATAGCCCTTTTACACTTTGACCAGTGTCTTCTATCACTCTGGGGATTGACATGAATTACATGTGCTGGTGCAAAGAACGATCATGTTCACATTCGGTCCAGTAATTGTGCAAGAGCCGCCCAACCACTTTACTGTCTGACTGTTCGTACTTCACACTCATCCACACGGTGGTTTATTTGGTCTGATTTAGCGGAAAGTGTGAAAGTTCTTGTGCTTTGTAAACTCAGCCTCAATGTTTGAGCTCAGATTCAACCAACCTGTAGCTTGTGCAACACAGCAGCGTCAAGAAAGCCCGACTTGAGGGAAATAAGTGAATTGAGACGACGCTTCTCCCTTGACGTTCTGTGGCTTTTTCACAGAAGGATTAGACTTCTGGGACACCGCAATGCCTTCAGACGGGCAGTGGAAAATTAAGGACGTCCCCGAACAAGATTCATCGAAGCTCCAGGCCTGGGACTTTCTTCAGAGGAACATTTATATAAAAGATCAAGACATACCCTATCAAGAAGTTAAAAAATGTTTCGCTGTATATAATGGGTGAGGATTACAGTCATGTTTATTGACATTTAATTGACGGGGAAGGGTTCATCCTGTGGGAATTCGTGCGTGGATGTGGAATTCTGCATGCGAGCTAGGCTTTCCATCTCTCAAAGTGGTACAAAAGGGAGTTTATATGAATTTATTCCATCTAATCAGACTTTCTATTTTAAGATGCTCAAACAGAATTAGTTTCCAAGCAAAAGGAGGGTGCTCCCATTAGTTTTATCAAGATTTAAATCAGGCAGCTTGAATTTGGCTCTATCCGATGGACATTCCCAAATGGCTTGTCTACTATTTTTCGGTTCATTAAGCGCTATAGCTGAAATAACTTCACGTCTTTTTTTCCTGTTCAGTGCTTAGGGACCTAAAAAGACCTGATTCACCGAATTAGGCCACAGTGCCCGCTGCTCCAATATCCAGTGTCTCGTAAGGGCCAACCTGTTACCTGATAAAACCCTCCAACTGGGTTTGCCTCCAGAAGGGCAACAGTGAGTTTCTTAATTGTTGTAATTTCTGTTGTAGGCTCTGCACAAAGTCTCAGCTCATCAGTTTGAGGGATGAAGGTTACTGGGATCAGCTGATGGATGATGGGAGACCCACAATTGTGGTGAAGGACTGGTAAGTGCCAGAGCGCTGTCTCCTGGTACAGGGGAGCAGGAAACGCATGCAACCAGATATAATTCTTCAGAGATGCAGAAATGCGGGTTTAAGAGAGCCTCCCTGCTTAAATCTGGACTGCAAGGCTTCGGCCATTCCAACGCTATGCCCTTACAAGCCTTCCTAGGGCGGCCAACGGCCACCCTAGCTCTGGATAAGCCAGGTTTCCTCTGGCTGCCACTCGCCCACATGCAGGGCTGCTGAACCTCTAGAGCTCCTACACTGAGGTCAACCACAACCAATGTGAACATGACCACTGTCTTTTGTCAGTCATGGTTTACAGCTTGGTATTCTCTGGGAACCAGGTCAGTAGAGTTTGTTCAACAAAGGCAAATATGGTATTCCCAGCTAGATACAGCAGAAAGCACTTCCTGTACGCTCACAGGAAGACAGCGAGTCTTTGTGGAAGCTCAGCTGAGGCTCCACTAGAAGAAAAGAAGGCTTTTAGAGGCTCCACTAGAAGATCTCTAGTGGAGCCTCTAAATCTTTAGAGGCTCCACTAGAAGATCTCTTTATTGACTGTCGGGAGGTGGAAGCCAACATTCAGTAACCAAGGCAAGTTGCAGAGGTGGCAACCAGTTCAAAGTGGAGACCAGGAATGCTAATCAGAATTGCCACAGGAGCGCCCGTTCGTTGTGTTTTTCAGTCCCTAAGCTGCTTCTCTTCCAGAAAGCTCTTGGCCAAGCCTCGCCTGGCCATCTGGGGGTAAGGATGTGCCAGGTTCAAACTTTTTCTCTCTGCTTTGCCCCCAAATAGGTTTTACAGCAGCTTCAACAGCCACTACGAGTTGTGTGTGAAGCTGTTGTCTGCCGATTTCAAGGTCATCAGAGAGTATCACTCCAAAGACAAGTACAAATACGATTCCGAGTACAGCGACGAATGGCGGCAGGTAAGAGAAGTGGTTTTCCAGGAATGGGTCAGTCCTCTTTCCCACCCGACACTGAAGCTCATCTCAAAGTCATCTTGTGTTGTCTCTCTCCTTGGCAGGTCTCACATGCTTTCCACAATGTCCCTCCTGGAATCCGCCACATCTTCTTTCAGCACCAAGGCCAGAATTTTAATTGGCAGCAATCCAGATGTGGCGCCAAACTAATGAAATGCTTGAAGATGGCCACACAGAGGAGCAAATCAAAAAGAATGAGGATTACCAAAACTAGCATCACCATCGGACCATTTTCTCTAGACAAGGCCTTGTACAACAGACACGGCCGAGACATTAGACACTGTCACTTCAGCAAATGCCCCTGCCGTGGGAACTATATTCATTTGTGAATTTTGCCTGCTTGGTCTAGGCAAAGTGTAGATGGGGTGTCTGCCACTGACCAGTTTCAAATGTTTTCTGCTCTTCGTAAGTTGTGTAAGTTTGGTACAAGCTTCAGATAGAGCAGATGCAAAAAAAAAAAAATAATAATCTTGTTCTTGCAACTCTTTTTCTCCCCCAGAAGATAAACAGAAGTATTGGAACTGGAAACAGGGTGAAACGGGCCAGAGTTGGTTATTTGCTTGTCATTCCCCCTGACACTTTTAATGAAAGCACGCCCAGAATCCAGGCCTTACAACATGATGGACTTTATTGGCACAAAAATTAGGCTACCGCAAGGCATCTAAACACAAGAATGCTTTGTGTATTTTGCTTGAAATATCTATCATTGACAAAATCGTCGCCATCCAAAGCTTTTGAATGCCTCGCAACTACTTTCTGGATCCCCCCAAATGCACAAAGAATAGGAACACAAGCAAAAATAGTGGGAAACGTGGATATTCGACTAGGGTTTTGAGTTCTCTTTACCCCCAAGTTCACCTATTTTCCTCCTCCAAACCCACAAATGTTGAAACATTCAATGTTAATACTTCGTCCCTTTATTTTCTGTGCTGTTGTGACAACAGCCCGGATAATAAAAACTTCTGCGAGGCCCCCATTCCTGCCATGACACCCTGCTCTACAGCAACTGCCATTCCATGCAACTTAAAACATGCTCCAATTGTGTCGTCACAAGCTTCAACTGCAGTCTGGTTGCGCTAAGTCGGAGCTGGGCGAGTCCAGTTAACCAACGGCTCATTCTTAGACATTGCGCATTTTCCCACACCTAAGCAAGGTGATTTGGGTCCCAGAAATGGCTTGGCCACATTACCTAGCCATGTCTTTGAGGCTTGTCTTGGAAAAAGAGGCCTTCCTTTTTTCTCCTCCACAGCTCCCAAAGTTTGAGAAAAGCTGTTTTCCCTCCACCCTCAAGCTGCAGTCCGTCTTGACTCCCCATCACTTCTGAGAAAAACTCACATGGGGATACCAGGCCCTAGCGAGGGAGGCCAGGAAAAGGTTTGGACACAAGTCTTCTATTACCAGAAAGGGCACCTGGAGGAAAAGAGACCAGACATGAAGCAGTGAAACGACTGGGCCTGGAAGCCCCATGCGACCGGGCCTAATTTATTTTTGATGTCCAACGGAGCTTTCCGTGGGAGTTCGTGAAATAGATATGGCATAGGAGGAAAAAGAGAGAGAGAGAGAGAGAGCTGGCTGTATGACAGGGAAAAAAGGAATTTAAAAAAATCCAAGGTTTTTTGGGCGCTCGAAAATTCTTTCAGGATCCCCATCAATGAGGAAGAAATAACATTTCCTCCCTGATCCAGCAGGTAGCCAACCATGTGATTTGTTATGACATGACGTCGGTTGGGAGATGGCTTTAACAGGGGCCTGTGTGCAGGGTCAAGCATTCTGTTGCAAGTCAGAACGATTAGAAGCTCCCTCTCAAATGAGAGGCAGTAATATCTTTCCCATGCACTGGGGGCATTTATAGACCATCTTTCAACAACTGTCACCAACATATATTTTATAGGTAAGCAGTAACAGGAGGCCGCTCTAGCTCCTAAGTTCTGCTGGTGGCCTTTCCATTACTACCAGGGTGACCGTGGTGGGAGGGCCAGAAAAATCCTTTGGGAAAGATCCAGAAGGGCCTTTCTTAAGTTGGGTTCCAACCTACTTTCCAAGAACAGGCACGACTCGGGGCTACTATGGCAAACTGGCCACTGCATTTCCATGTTCCATGAACAGAGGAGCGTTTCATCAATTTAACAGTGCTCCTTGCCCCGACGGGCTCTGCGAGAGCCAGGCAAAGGGCTAGGCAACTTGTGTGGCCCATCAGGGATAGCTGGCAGGTAGTGAACAAGCCACCTGATGAACCATTTCCGACTCGGCTCTCTCAGAGCCCAGCGGGCAAGCATCAGGCCCTTTCCAAGGCTGAGCTGAAAAGCCTCCAAACTCACCATCCAATGTAGCACTGGCACAGGTTCTCGTGGGAAGTGGCCTGCTTAATGAGCAGCTCCACCTGGGTGGGCACGTCCAGGGTTTCGTCATGGGAAAAGTCTCGTCCTTGGCAAGGGAAGAACGAGAGGAGGGTCAGGAAACGGGCCCCTTCCTCTGCAAGGCTGGCGGTGGTGTTGAAGGGAGCCAGCCAGAAAACTAACCAGTAGAACTCATCCATCACGGGTGAGACAACAATAGTTTCTATTCTGGGTTCATAATTTTTCACACTTGCTGGATGTGAGTGCTTAGACCTGCCTTCCAGAACTCACCCTTTCCCATCAAGTCTTGGCTCACTCCCTCATTTTCTGTCCTGATCTCGCACCATCTATTTCTGGCTTCTCTGCTCCTCCCCACCTTTCACGATCATCCCTCGGGATGACAGCTAAAGATTGTAAGTTCTTCGGGACAGGATCCTCTGCTAGCATGTCCTTATAAAGGGATCCTGAGAACAGGGATGCCGTGCAAAATGCCAAGAAACCCCAAACAGTGTTCCCCCGCCCCAAGTCCATGTGAGCGTTTGGTAAAAGACGCACAACTTACTTACCAGTGAGTTTATCGCGGACTCTGTTGATAATCTGAATAGCTTTCTTATTTAGAGCTTCTGGTTTCACAAGACCATCCCCTACTAGAAAGAAAAAGACAGGCAATAATTAGATTTGAAAATCCAGAGCAATCCATCTGCAATTACTTATTTGCATCACTGCTAGAATCAATCCCAGAACTCAGTTTTCTTGACCCTGATTAAAGGGGGAAATAATCATATCCGTAACAGGGTCCTCAGTCCAATTCTGAGCATCCCAACCTCATACATGAACAAAGGGAAACTCCCCGTGAAGGGGAGCCAGAGAAATTTCTGTGCAAGTCAAGCTGGAGTCCTTGAGACTTTTGAGTTGTGGGCCAAGTGGATAAAGGGGGTTTTGTGACAGTGAATACAGTATAACAACATTCTCCCTTCGCCTGGAGGCTTAACACGAAAGGATACCCTCTCTAAACTTACTGAAGGAATGGATAGACTCAGGCACTGTTGTTCCAGCTTTCTTATGGGCCGTTTCACCCAGCTCCACGCTGTCCAACATTTCTTTAAAAAGGAGGAAAGTGGTCAGATAAAGACAAAACATTCTGCTCGTGATCTTTCTTGTGCTGCATAGCTTTGGTTCAAGCTGTGAGCTGCTTGGGAGAGAGACACTTAGTTACTAGCCACTGTGTTTCCAGATGGTGAAAGAGAGGACAGTTAGGTCTGGCCTAGCCCCCTGCCCTCTCTTGCAACTGAGAAGGCCTCCATGGGGCTCCAAGCCGCCTCCCCTCCCTTCCCCATCAACCGAGGGGAAAAGGGCAAAGGTCAGGGGGTAAAGAGCTTTGCAAAGAAGCGTCGGCTCTTTTGTGCTTCCTTCTTGCTGCAGTTTAATCCAAATTAGAGAAAGGAGAGGAACTAAAACAGGGTCCCCATCCAACGAGGAACGCAACGCAGAGAAAAACGGAGGCCCCTGCTCACCGACTGACTGGCCGGCAGAGTACGAATCTGTCCGGGTCCGAGATCGCTTGTTGCCTTTCGCGTTTGCTGCAAAGAAAGGAAGTGGGTCATTTCAGGTTCCCCACCGTGATGGGAGCACATAACAGCAATGCCTCTTGTTGTGAGAGGCAACTAGTTTCGGAGGAGTATTTACGTAAATCCTACGTGTAAGGGGCTTTGGTTTCTTTTACCCAATTAAACAACATTCACTTTTGTTTCCTGCTTTTTCGTGCCTCATTATAAACCTCTCTGCTTTGACTTCTGCTTACTAGTTCAATTGGGCTTGCTCAAACCTGCTGTTTTAATCTCTACTTTACCATCCCTGTTCCTGTATTTTATTATGCTATTAACAGACTTATTTAGTTTTATATGGCTGAACTGCCTAGAATGGCGTCAGAACAACAGAAAAGCCGGGAATCAGTTTCTTTACGTCAATAGACCTTGTAAGAGGAGAGCCATGTTAGTCCTACGGTAGCCAAAAATCAGGAATCCGGCAGCACCTTTTCCAACCAACAGGTTTTATTAAAAGGCATAAGCTTCCACGAGCTGTAACTCGCTCATGCATCGGACAAAGCGAGCTGTAGCTCAGAAAAGCTCATGCCTCTTAAAGAAACGGATTAGTCGGGTAACGTGCAACCAGATGCTTGATTTTTAGATGAGGAAGTATCCTGCACTGGTTTTTGGGACGCTGCACGGGAGAGAAGCGATTCAGGCGAGCTGGATCCCCAAGCCGCTGTCCTTTCATTTCAGGCCAACGTACTGTCCATCAGCCTCCAGTTGAGCAAGGGATCGTACACGAAGGCTTCTAAGACGGCCATGACGCTGTCTTTGTGCTCTCGTAAGACTTCCATCACAGTGTGGCAGGTAATTCGGTAGTTTCCATCTAAGCCAGTGACCTGAGGGGGGGAAAGGAAAGGGGGGGAAAGAGTCAGCAAGGGGTTCTGATCCAAATACCCTCTTCAGAATTTGGTAGGCCAGGGAGGCTTGGCGGGCATTCTGGTGCGCTTTCCAAAAGCTGTGCAAGGAAGCCAAGCAGGGCCTGGCTTGACTTAGGTGGGACATCCATCTTCTGACGGTCCAAAGTTGAGATGCCAATGAGGTACGTGAGCAGGACTTCCGGTACATTACTAACCAGCAGTAAGGGTGGTGTTAATTCCTAGCAAGTTTCCTGGAGTGACTGTCCATAATGCCTTGCGATGTGGTGGAGGTGTGAACAGCAATGTCGCCCCATCAAAATTGGTTGCCGGAGAACAGTTGTCCGTGAACCTCCAGTTCCAACAATATTTTTAGGAGGCCTTCTGAGATGTATCAGTTCACATGGAGCAGAGGCCAAGGAGGGGGACCAGGAAAGGCAAAAGTTCCCAGGAAGGCACCCAGGTGCCCGGTTCTGCCCTTAAAAACGGTTTTGAGCACTGCAGGATCTGGCTTACCTCCATGGCGTTGGTCAACATCCTCGTTAGCCTGAAAGGGATCTTCTCGGGGAATTTCTCTCGGGTCATCGCAACCTAAAATCCAGACAAAGTGAAGCCAAAGAAATGAAGAGATGCTTCAAAGGATGGAATTGGGAGGGCTGAAAGACATTAAAGCAGAGAAGAATTGCGGCTTGGGTTCCTGACATTTTAATTTAAATTGCCCAAACTGACTCAGGACTGTGGTAGTGAGGAG